CTCTAATCTTTGTAAATATGGTATATAAGGTAATGAGCATTTTCGAAGTAGGATTTTTGTAAAGAATTTTTGGCATTTTTCGAGTTTGTTAATTTCAGATTTTAGTTGTGGATTCCATGTTTCAGGAGAGTATTCTAGTAAGGGTCTTATATAACTTTTATAGATAGTAAGCCAAGTTTTTATAGATTTAGAAGTTTTTATAGATTAGCATGTAAATATGTAAAAATGCTTAATTATTTTTATTTTTAACATTTTTTAATATTTAGGGAATAATATAACATGTATATTCCGGAAAGTTTATATACTTAGGAATATAAAATTTTCCGGAAAATATATGAATTTAATTTTTTCCGGAAGGAATAAATATTACCATCTTTCCGGAAAGTTTAGATATAATTAAATGTTTCCGGAAAATACATATAATATATTAATTCAGAATAATTTTATTTGTATTTTCCGGAAATTATTAATCGTTCCGGAAAAGTTTATCTGTATTTTCCGGAATGTATAATGATAGTATATTTGTATGTATTTTTCGGAAATTTTTAATTAATTTCCGGAATAGTATTTTATTTTTGTTTTTCCGGAAATTTTATAATCCTGATTTAGTTTTTACTAAATGTGTTTCATAATATAAAAATAATAAAAGGTAGTGAAACATGGCAATCTATAAGAATAATAATTTATAAAAATAATAGATTTTGTGAAAAATAATTTATTATAAGGAAAAAGGTCGAATTTATATGTAGATTGAATAATAATTTATTTTTTTAAATATTTTAAAATAAAAATAAAATTGTGCAATGGAAAATAAGTCTTGCCACAAGGGGTGTAAATTAAAAATTCTTTAGGTCGGAAATTTTGATTATTTTTTTCCTGTTCTATTTTACTATTGTAGCCTTTTTAATGCTTTTCCAATAATACAAAGTTTTAATGATTTGCTTCCAAACTTAAAAAGATAACGAGATTTGAATACACTATATACTTATTTTGATGCTGAAGTAAGTCTTGATTCAATATACCTACATATTTTTATCATTACCAAAATTAAAAAATATTTATCAAGGCCATAGATACACTCAGTTCCAAAATTATAAGGTCACCTCTATTTTTTATCATATCTCATTGAAAAAGTATCGAAATTTTTTAAAATTTTTACATAATTTATATTTTTCTATTTAAAATCTTCCCTAAATAAATCAAATATGTAGTACATTTAAAAAAATTTTTATGACCAAAAAATCAAATTTAAAGTGTTCCATAATTATAAGGTCACCTTTGTTTTATGAGTTTCTAATAACGGGAAAAATCCACAAAAATTTTTGTGAACATATCTATTGATATGAATAGAAAATACAAAAGAAACGAATTTCTAGTGTACCTCCTTCATTGAAATCTTAAAACCCGAAAATCAACTGAAAACCGGGGTAGAAGTCTTTAAAAAATATTTTCGACACCTTACAGGTAAAATAAGAATTTTATTTTGGGCTTATTTGAGAGCCCTTGAAATTTGCTACAAGATAGCATTAATTTTATTTCCCGAAAAAAATTCAAGTGTAAGATCTAATGAGATAAACTTTCAGGTCATAGAAATCACTCAAACGCCCCCCAAAAAGCGATAAAAATGTAACTTGTGAACTAAACTCATTATTTCTCAAGTATGAATTTTTTCTGGATTATGAGATGAAAACTATCTTGTAGCAAATTTCAAGGGCTTTCAAATAAGCCTAAAATAAAATTTTTATTTTACCTGTAAGGTGTCGAAAATATTTTTCAAAAACGTCTACCCCGGTTTTCAGTTGATTTTCGGGTTTTAAGATTTCAATGAAGGAGGTACACTAGAAATTCGTTTCTTTTGTATTTTCTATTCATATCAATAGATATGTTCACAAAAATTTTTGTGGATTTTTCCCGCTATTAGAAACCTATAAAACAAAGGTGACCTTATAATTATGGAACACTTTAAATTTGATTTTTTGGTCATAAAAATTTTTTAAAATGTACTACATATTTGATTTATTTAGGGAAGATTTTAAATAGAAAAATATAAATTATGTAAAAATTTCAAAAAATTTCGATACTTTTTCAATGAGATATGATAAAAAATAGAGGTGACCTTATAATTTTGGAACTGAGTGTATCTGCGGACGTCTAAATTTTTTAAGAAAAATGTTATAATCAAAATTTTTTTTTAAAATAGTATTTTGAACATAAATCCCTTCAAAGGTCAATTCACTCGGATGAACAATTTTCAACTCCATTTTTAGTCATTTCTTCTCTTTCTTCCTTTCAGACTCATCATGTTTAGATATAAATCTTTTGAAAAAGAGATATCCTCAATGGAACATTAAAACATTAAAATATGTAGGTTTTAATGTTAGGAATACATATGTATATGTTTAAGTTAATTCATTAAATTTTATAAAAAAGAACATGATTTTATTTATTCATCTTCAACTTAATATGCTTAAAATAAAAAAATAAAATTAATTATTACAAGATTAATGATGCTGTTAAAAAGATTTTTCTTTTTAATTCGTAACTATATTTGGTTCAAATGTTTGACAATAAATTGGCAAAGGTTTTTAAATTAATATTAGATTAGGATTTAAAAAATTATTATGGATCAGGGAGCGAGAGGTTGATTTCTGATTTTAGCTCGAATCTGAGAATCCGATAGGTTGATTCTGACCTAAGATACTATGAAACGAACCTACGGATCGATCGAATTATATCCCTGTACTCAGATAACTAAATAAAAATCGTCCAAAGATCCAAAGACCACAATAACCGGGGTGTGCCGAAAGTGATTTTAAAAAGCGCGAAAACCAAAGACGAAAGGCGAAACTCGTAAATTCTTCCAATACATAAGTTCTTCCCAATCATTCCAATTCGAAATCGTCCAAACAATAACAATTCTTTATATGTAGTTTAACTGAAACTGTCTTAACTCTAACTAACAATTAAAGTCATTTTCAATAATTATAAGGTATAATAACCTTTCAATTCTTTTATGTAAAAAGATCAAGTTTCCGATAAATTTTGTAGATAAAATATATAATTTTTGTTGTTTTTATTGAATAAATACATAAATTATTGGGTAGTTTAGAACGCTAAAAGTTAAAAAAGAAAAATAAACGAGCAAAAAATTTTATAAAAAAATATGTATGCATAGGTATATGTCTATTATCTACATTTGTTTGTCTTGTATTTTTATTTTAAATAAAAAAATTTCTGCGATTTCCGAGACGGGGAAAACATAAAAATACTTTAAAAATAGTACTAATTTTTTAAATTTTATTTTAATTTTTTAAAATTATTTAAGTTGTGGGCATTCTCTGGAACAGATGATACTGAACAAGACATATTTCCAAAAGTATGGATAAAATAAATTTTTTAAATACCTAAATAATGGGAGCAGGTCAATGTATCGCGAGCCCAATGTATAGCTAAGCTATAACTTCATTCAAAATTATTGAATAGTGACGCCTTGGTGTGTTTAATGCGCCCCGATCAGCTGAATCATACCATACCAGGGAGCCCCATATTCGATAATTTCGAACAAATTTCTAGCTCTGCGGTGTTGTTGGCCTGCTCCCCATAAAAATTTAAAAATAGTTTTTAAACAAATAATTTAAATAAAGAGTTCGTCGTATTATTGCACGTGTATTTTTACTTGGTTTTTTATTTATTCTTTGCATTACGTTTAATATGCCTTGGAGGTTTTTTAAAAAATTTAAAATTTTTCAAAATTTAAAAAATTATTCTATAGCACTCAACATATAGCTATTATCTCAACCAATTATTTTTTTAATTCCTCAAGGTATTATTGAGGAAAAAATAATTTTTTAAAATAATCAGTTATCCTTCAAATACAATGGTCGTCCTTTTCAATGCACAAAGAAGGTTTTGGCCTCCCTGGCCGCTACTTTGTGAGTTTTATTAAATCAAATAAAAATCTGAAAAAAAATTAAAAATACTTTTTGAGGTCATAGTCATAATACCACTCATTCACTCACTTCATTGCCTCGTGTTCGTCATGCATTCACTCCTATTCTTATTTGTGGATGGTTTGTTTTAAAAAATTTTCAGCCCAAAAATTCTCAAAAATTTTTTTAAATTAAGGTCAGTCTTCTTAGCAGTCTGCCCAACAGTTCAATCCCCCTCTCAATTTGCCTTGCGAGACATGCATGTCCATTCAAATTCAGTAGCCGTTCCCTACAGAAAAGTCAGTGCGGAGCATTTACCCGTAGTTGCCTGTTTCAGTCCTCTTTTCTTTAATGAAAGGTGGCAATTAATTATTCCAACGGTGAAATTTTTAAAAAGAATTTTTAAAAATTTTTTTAAATTTAGTTGGAAATTTATCGACAATATGGGGTGTCATTACAAGTATATTATATTCAAAGCATGTTAGTTGAAATTCTCGATTTTATGAGGGTAAAGGCTTTTAAATTAAATTAAAATTAAAAAATTAATAGATTTATGAAAACGAAAAAATTATAAGAATAGAAGCATGGACAAAGTTTAATATATCTATGCCTGTTGATAGCTCTTTTAAACCTTTAGATTATGACCCTAATGCTGAGTTGGAATGGAGGTGTTGTTTTTATAAGATTATTAAAACATTCCGGAAAATTATTTTCCGGTTTATTTTCCTGAAGGAATTATTTGTTTATATTATTCCGGAAATTTTCCGGAAAAGACATTATTTTCCGGAATGAATTTTATTTTTATAAATATTTATTCCGGAAACATTTGAAAATACATAATTTTCCGGAAAATACATATGGATAGATTTTCCGGAAAGAATTATTTATTTGTATTCATTCCGGAAAGTTTAAAAATATATAGAATTTTCCGGAAAATAATATTAATTTATTTTCCGGAATATATCCTTTTACACCTTCATAAAATTAAACTTTACTTAAACAGAAATCAAGCAGCTGCCCACACAGATTGTTTAATCTATTACAAAGTGGGGATCTATTTAATTTTTAAAAAATGCTAAATTGTATTTATTTTTTGGAAGCGGCCGAATTTATTATTATTTCCGATCTGGATGATGTTTTAATACCACGTATGGGGGATGGAAGTTTTCTTGGAGAATTTAGACATTTAAGTGCGCAATTGCCTAATTCAGCTGGATTCTAGTTTATTTTATTTTTTAATTTAAATAAATTTATTTTTAAAAATTAGTTATAATCGTTATAATACTCATCTAATTACAAGTAAATTAATTTTCTTATTAGAAGCTTTAAAATTAATTTTTTAACTCTTTAAGGCAATGATCCAAAAGATTTTTCATTATTATCATTAATAAATGGGGCTAGAATTGCTGAAGAATGGGAAGATCCAAAGTAGAGTTTTCCTTAATAATTTTATGAGGAAATAAAATGTTATAATTTTTAATTTTTTCCGGAAATTCCGTAAATTTTAAAAATGCTTCCTATGAATATTAATAGTTCCGGAAAAATATTAATTCATTTTCCGGAAAGAATTATTTATTTTATTTATTCCGGAAATTTAAAAATGTATAATTTTCCGGAAAATATATTATCAATTCATTTTCCGGAAGAAAATAAATTAGAGAATAAAATTAAAATTCCCCTTGTCCACTCAACCCAGTCATTTAAAAATTGAATGACTTCGAAAGACTGTCCCCAAACTCTATCAGAAAATCATTTAAAAATTATATTTCAATTTTATAATTATCTAAAGGTATGTAGTTAAACCAAAAAATGTTCAAAGTGTTTGGCTACATTGGCCAGGAATTGTGAACTTTTTTATTTAAATTTTTCTAATTTAAATTTTTATAAGGTTGATAAAGGACAAATGTATCTAGTGCCGGATTCACAAAATTTTATTTTACATTTTAGGAATTGGAGCATGGTCTAGATTTAATTTTTTCTATTTAAATTTATTTTTAATTAATTTTTAGATAGACCATGATGCAATTAATGTCCCTTTAATAAATCGGGTGTCTTATTATTAGCTCTTATTTTTTTAAAATTTTTATAAATTAATTTTTTTTAAATTTAATGTAAAGCAATTTAACGTCAATTATTTAATCCCCATATTTCCAAATTTATTTAAATAAAATTAAAAATTAATTTTAAAAAATTTTAAAGGTATTCAAAATGTTTAATTATCAAATTTCCGATGTAATACGACCCGAAGCAGCAACAAAATTGGAAAATAATTTTAGAAAATTTATTCTAACAACTCCACAATTGGCTGAAAAAGTGATCTTTTTTAAATTTATTAATTAAGAAATATTTTTTAAGTTTTCTCGACTACCTCATAGAGTAATTTATTACCCTATTATCTCTGCATGTTATAATAGGTAATCTTTTGAGATCTGTAAATATTTTTTTATTTTTTAATTCAGAATATTTTATGGACGAAGCAAACGCCCCATGAATTGTCCCGGTCCATTGCGTTGTCTACTTCCTTCTATTCCTGATATTAAATGTGCTATCGGGATAAGGAATTACGAGCATGGTGCAATTAACGAACACGTGGTAGAAGTTTTTAAGAGATTTTTCCGGAAGGAATTATTTATTTCTGTTTATTCCGGAAAAGTTTGGAAATAATTACTAAATAGTTTTCCGGAAAATATATAAATTCATTTTCCGGAAGGAATTAAATTAGTTTATTTCCCGGAAAATTATAGATAATTTCTCCCGGAAGAAATTAATATATTTTCCGGAAACACAATTTAAAATTTCCGGAACAAATACAAATTCTTGTTTTCCGGAAGGAATATATATTTATTCCTGAAAGGCTTGGAACTATTCCGGAAATATACAAATACATTTTCCGGAAGGAATTAAATTAATATATTTTACGGAAAATTATAGATATTTCTTCCGGAAGTGAATTAATACATATATTTTCCGGAAACATATAGAACTGTATTTAAAATTTCCGGAAAAATACAAAATGTTGCTTTCCGGAAGATTATTTTTTATATTTATCGGAAATTTTCTGAATTTAAATTTTTTCAGAAATTTTAATTTAAATAAAAATATTTTTTAGGTAATTCACTATCCGGTTGAGGAAAAGGAAAGTTTTTATATTAACAACGCGGGCTGTAGTATATAAAAATTTGTATTTAATTTGTTATTTTTATTTATTTTTTAATTAAAAATGTTTAAAAAAATAAATTTCTAACATTTTTGTGGTTATTATTTAAGGAAATTATTTTTAGTAATTTTTAAAATAAAGAAAATAAAAATAGGAGCCGACCGGATTTGAACCGGTGACCTATTGATCTGCAGTCAATTGCTCTGCCACTGAGCTACGACTCCTCATGTGAGAACATGACAAATAAAGTCTATTCAATCCTTTTTTAAAAGAAAATTCTTGTCTGACTGTCGCTTATTCTCGTTTGGTTATAAATTAATGGAAAAATTAGTTGAGCGATATAAATATTAATTATTTAATAATGAATGTAAATATTTATAAAATTTAATTTTAATTAGAAAATATTGGCTTTAATTTTTTTGTGAAAATTAGTGAAAAAATATTAAAAAATCATTGTAGAGGCTTAAAAAAATTAAATAAAGACGAAAAAATTTTAAAAATAAAAAAACAATTTTTTAAAATCATTTTTTAATCAAAATAATATTTTTAAATTTATATCCAATCATTTCCCCTTCCATTATAAAATCCTCCAAAAGGTGATGAACCAAAATTATTATTGCTAATAAATGGAATACTTGCTCTATTATAGTAACGACTATATGGAAAAACTGAAAATAAAATTTTTAAAATTATTTTTAAAAATCAAATTGGCATAAGCAAAGCAAAAAAATTATTTTTAAAGCAAAATAAAACAAACAACTAGGCTCTCTCGACCCCATGTTCAAGTGCACTGCCGAGTCAGCTACAGGCATGTTACTTTCACTATCTTCTTTTAGAAAGATATCAAACTTCCGCCTAAATAGCGTTTTAAATCGTGGATCTCTCTTACTATTAAGTAAAATTAATAATTAAAAAAAATAAATTTATTCTGGGACAAAATTGCATTTAAAAATATTTATATAAATGCAAGAAGGTGAAAGTAATAATTAATAAGTATTTTGTAAAAGCTAAAAGGAAAAATATAAAAATGTGTTAATTTTAATTTAACAAGCAAAATATATTAATTAAAAAAATTAATTTGTTAAAGTAAAGGCAATTTGTTAATTAGCTACAAGGCTGAGGACAATCACCTCCTCCTCCCATCGGTCCGTAATTGCCTCCATAATTGCGGTAGGGAAGAGTTCTATAGTAATTGCGAAAATACCTTTAATTAAACAAAAGGTTAGTTTAAAATAAATTTAAATTAAGAGGACCTTGAAGGACCGTAATACCCATTATTGTAGTATGAATAGGCTGGATTTGAATCGTATTGTCTCATTGCTGCCTCTCCGAAATATTCGGGGGCCTTGAAATAAATTAATTTAAATAATATTGGGGAAGAGAGGGTTAAATGCCTGTTCTTGATTTCCAGTTCCGAGGTATGGGGCGTCTCCTAAGATAATTTTTTTGAAAAATTATAATGGGAAAAAATATGCCTGTAAGAGCCTTCATTTCAGCAATTCCACCAACTGCTTCCCCAAAATGGATAAATTCAAAAATAATAAAAAGGTGAGAAAATAAAAGAAAAAAGATCATTAAAAGTTTATTTTATTCTGTAAAATATATGGGAATTGTAAAACTTAATTGTAAAATTGTAAAACTTGTGTCTGAATGTAAAACTTTTTCAGAATTTCAGAATTTTTAAATTAAAGTTGGTTTATTATAATACAACCTCTTTTAAAATCAGAATATTTAACAGGTTTGTGTTTTATATAATTCTGGTTTAAATAAAAATTCTGATTAAAACTTTTCAGAATTAAGCTTATTCATTGTTATAAACCGGAATATTTATCAAACAAGTTTATATTTTATATAATTCTGTTTTAATTAAAATTCTCTAAATAAAAATTCTGATATAACAAGAAACCCCATTTTTATAACAACGAAATACATTTTGTATTTTCCAAGTTTTATAATCGTAAAACAATTCTGGTTTTAATTTTAAATAAAATTCAAAATCAGAAATATGAGTCAGATCGAACTTTTTCTTTACTTTTTAAACCTTTGCTCCTAATAAAAGCACCAAAAAAAGTTAAAACTTGTTCTGGAGCATTTTTATATAAACATAAATTGACGTCAATTGAGACACAAAATGCTTGCGCATTTTATTACTATTTTCTGGCTAATAATGTATTTTTTAAATAAAAAAGAGGAGGAAATAAATAATTTTTTGTAGTAATTGGCGAAGTTACGAATAAAACTTTGGTAATAATTAATTTTAAAAAAATTTATTAAATTTGAACAGGTAAAAATTAGAAAAAAATAAATTTAAATAAATAAATTATATAAAATCGGACATTGTTTAGGTACACGTCCGTGAGGCAGAAAAGTCGTATACTAAAATGAAGGGTATCCTAAAGCAGACCTGGTCATGAATACGAATATGGTCATGGATACGGATATTCGGATACGGATACCAAAATCAGTATCCGTGACCAGGTCTGTCCTAAAGTGTTGTGTTATCACTTAGGCACCTCTTTCCCGTGGATAGTCAACCAGATAAATAAATACTAAACTAAGGTGTGATAGTAGACATTAATGGGAATCGAGGTTACCTATAATTGAGAGGTTTTTTGGTTTAGAGATTTGGGGTTCTACGATAAGTAAAATGTAAAACCCGAAAGAAACTGATCGAACAGACAATAATCTTGCTATGAAAGCTGTAAAAGAAATTCAAGATTTCTGCTAACCGGTTAGAGATGAGACCACCAACCAGACTTTTTTATTCAAGGTAAATCCTTGTTAATGAAAAATGAATATAAATTTTAACGAAAACCACTGACCTGAAAATAGGGGAAATTAAACTAAACTAAAGAAAATAAAATTAAAAATATAACAGATTTACTCCGATAAAAGAACAAAAAATTGTGACAGCCGATTTTGGAAAAAATAAAAAGAAGTTTTAGGGAAGAAATCTTTTTGGGAAGAAAATATAATTTGAAGAGGAGAAAAGAAAAAAAGGTTGGAGAGATTTTTTATTAAAAGGATGTCTAAGTTTATATGGTGAAGAAAAGCTTGAATCTCTTATAAGCCAAGGTCAACTGAACAAAGTTTTTCAAAAATTTGTTTTTTAGATTGAAAAAAATTTTTTGTTCTGAAAATTTCTTTATTCTAACCCATGAAAACAGAGAGAATATGAATCGCCTAATGGGTTCTCTCAGAAAATGTACATATTCAGCCAAATCCGCCTTGATTCGACTTGATCGATCAACCGACTTGATTTATCGAGGTATATCTCTTTGATTTCGATTTTTCGGTAAGAATACTAAAAATGTCAAATGAGATCGAAAATGACTTTCGAACAAAACTAGAATTCGGCTCGATATGATTTTTTTCGATATTTTTATATTGAATACCGACCGACCCCTCCGGTCGGTCTCTACTCAAAGACCTAAAACAACAAAAAATCCATTCCTTTTTAAGGTTAAATTTTATTTCGAAAAAAGACGTGAATATATTCTTTTCCTTATTCTTCCACCCTTTCTTTAAAAAATTGAAGAAGAGGGGAGGGGGAACACTCAAAAACAGGCTGTAAAGATGCGCATAAGAGAATACAAAAAATAATGGTTCCGCATTGTGAAGACTATTTTGGAATGTAAAAATATTTTTTTAATAGAAACATTAGAAAATAAATGGAAAAAAGTTTATTTTAATTGAAATAGGTTGAAAAATTGTTGAAATATTAATTTTTTGCTCCTGGGGCCGTATTATAAAAAGCGGGTAGGAGAACCTGGTAAATTTACCAGGTTCTCTTACTCGGGTAATAGAACCCCGAGCTGAGGGTTAACCCTTATTACAAAAAAATCAACCCAGAACTCGATGATTACCCGCAGCTGCCTATTGGAGAAAATGAGTCCCTTTTTCGCTCAAAAATGGGGTACTTTGCGCGAAAATTTATAGTAAATTTAATTTTCAAAAAAAATTTTTAAAAATTATATCAAAAAATAGAGCACACTCTAATCTATCTAAAAATATTTAATTTGGAATTTTTTGATTGAAATTCGATTTTTAAAAAATTTTTAAAGAGATGAGGGTAAGATTTTAACCCTCATCGAATGAGGGTTGCATTCTTACCCGCAGCTGCGGGTTCTATTACCCGCAACCCTCATTTTTTAATAAGGGTTAGAACCATACCCGCAGCTGCGGGTTCTATTACCCGGGTAACTAACCCACAGCTGCGGGTTACCCCTACCCGCATTTTGTAATAAGGGTTGTGGGTTAACCTACCCGCAGCTGAGGGTTGGTTAACCCTTACCTCGTTTTTATAATACGGCCCCTGGAGGGTAGTTAGGTAATCTAGAGGTGGTAATTAGAGATAGTGTAATTATTCGAAGGATAGAACGCTCACTTTTAGATGCCACTTCGGACTGAACAAATTGTGCATTATAATCATGGGTACTTTAAATTGGGGAGGGGGGGGGGCAAGGGTATCCAGTAGCTACCCAGTAGCTATTAAATTTTAAATATTAAATTGAGGAGTATTTATTAGGAGATATAACTAAAATAGAGGTTCGATTAATTCGGAAGAAAAAATGTTTTGATTTCTAGAAACTAAAAGTTTATAAATTTTTATCACCCAAGAGTGTTTGTCGCAGAATGACAAAGTATTCTGCTTTTGTATTTTGTGATCAAAATACAATTTTTTATTTAAATTACTGATAAGGCCCAATTTCTTCACTTTAATACTTTTTTGGGCAAATTCTTATCTTTTTTGGCCCATTTTACATTTTTAACCCCCAATTTCTCCTTTTCACGTGTTTTTTATGGCCCACATTCCAAATTGTTTACTATTAAATATTAATATGTCTCAAGGTCCGCTTTTTTGGCCCAACCTAATATTTAACAAACAAAAGCCAAAAAAGTGGCCCGACCATTAAATTTTAGTTTAAATTGTGTTTTAATGTTCTAATCATTTAAAAATGTTCCTCCAATTCTGGCCCTATTTAAGCTCCTCACTAATTATTCATTTCGCTGTGTATAGGTTGTTCATGTTAGTCACCATATAAGCTTTTTAGCTTTTAATTACCCAAGTTTGAGTTTTTGTCCTTGCCCAATTCACCACAATTGTTAAAATATTAAAGTAGATAAATAAATTTAAAAATAAATTCTTTATTTCTTTAATTCAATCTGACACCCTAATTAAATCCACTAGACAATTAGAAGCCGCTGCGACCGATCTGCCACATCTGGGGGCTCAGCCGGTGAGATTTAATTTAATCTCACCTACAACAACAACAACAACAACAACAATTTCTTCATTATTTGTTGGTTGGAAAAGAAGTTTAAATTTATCTACAACTACAACAACAACAAATACTTCAAATATTATTTGTTGGAAAAAGAAGTTTGGAAGCTCGTACCAAAATTCGTATTTAATTAATTGGAAAGAATCAACAACAACAAATTGCAGTTGCTTGTTTGTGAAAAAAGGTGGAAAATAAAATAAAAAATATTAAAATTTATTTTCGAAAAAAGGGGGGATCTAAATTAAAATTAAAATTTATTTTTTAATAAATTACTTATACTCCAAAGAATATATCTTTGTATATATTTTTGGTAGTAAAATAAATTGAATACTCAAATATAGTATTTTCATATACTATTTTGGTATTTTGAATTCCGGATTAGTGGGCTAAACCTAAGACCCCAATTAATTCTCATTATAACAAAGACTCGGTCTTCGTGCCTTGTTTTGTTATTGTTTGACAGTTCGGGTAATAGAATTCACTCTTCCGAAGTACGAGTACTAGAAAAGTCGAAAGTTCCAAACGTTGAATATTGCTGCAATCTTTATTGAAATTCAACATGTCAGCACCGATCAAAACGACAATCGTCTCCGCTATGAGAGCTCTTTCGAGACTCAGAACTCCAAAGGATTTTAATGAAGAAATATTAGATGAAGATAATTTGGAGACACAATTTTTGAGGATGCAATCGCTGACAGAAAAAATAGAATCGGAAATCACGACAGGAGAAGCATATTTAAACGACATACGTTCAGCAATGGCACAATATGTCGACCTTTTGCGCAAGTTGTCAGGCGACGAAAGGAAGCAAGCAAATGAAGACTTCGAAAAATTTCAAGTGGAGCAAAAATTAGATAGAGCGACGGAAACAATAGAATTAATGTTGAGAAATCTGCGAGATCATCAATCAAGTACTGCAATAAAGACAAAACTACTCGCGTCAAGAGTAGAGAAAGAAAAAAGAAGTGAAGAATTAATACATGCGCAGTTACTTCAAGCGTCTGCGCCAAAAGAATCGAGTAGCAATGGAGCTACACGACAAGCAATTTCTTCAATATATCAGCTGCCCACTCTTCAGATTAAACGATTCAACGGAGAAAGAAAGGACTGGTTAGAGTTCTACGAGAGCTTCCGATGTGCGGTAGACTCGAGTGCAGGGTCCGACATCGAGAAACTCACTTTGCTTCGCAACCTCGTGGATGGGGAACCGCGTGAATTGATAGCCGGGTTCCGCCTCGAAGCAAAGAATTACAAAGAAGCACTGCAGCTTCTAAAGGATCAATATGGAGATAAGGATGCTCACATTAGAAATCTCCACTCAAGATTGGCAAATTTGAAAATTTGCTCAACATTGAACGACGTCAAGAAATTTTCGCTTGACCTCGAAAGATTAGCCAGAGAACTAAAGAACATGGGCGAGGATATACAAGGACCAGCAGTACATTTAATGTTAGAGAAGAAATTGAGCAAACCGTTTTTACGGGTGATTTTATCAAAGAAGGCAGAAGACCCATCAAATTGGTCAACAAATAAATTTCGCAGTGCATTGCTCGAAGCACTTCAGAAAGAAGTAGCAATACAAGAGGTCATGACTGAATATGACCAAGAACACAACAAACGGCAAGTAAGGCCGAATCAACAAAATCATCAGAAGTCTCCACAGCAGCAAAGACAACATGAATACACGTATGCAGCAATCACACAAGGGCAGAGACTAGCAACTCAACAAACTCAGACTCAATCAAATAGGCAAGCAATTCAAAGAGAAGATAATCAATGGGGTTTCAACAATACGAGGCGACAAGTCAATAATCGAGCATTGCTTCCAGACTGCACGTTTTGCGGATTGACGCACTGGAACGACAAATGCAACAAATACAATAATCCTCGAGCAAGGCTACAGATAGCCAAAGAAAAGAAGCTCTGCACACGTTGTTTAAGAAGAAATCATTCAAGTGCAGAATGCAAAACCCCAGCAAAGTGCTATCATTGTGGAAGATTGCACCCAACAGCGCTATGTTTTCAACGAAACCCAAATCAGTTAACAATCGCCCGTAGGCAAAGAAATGTGGTCCGATCGCAGCAACAAAGAGAAATACCAAGCGCTACAAATTGTCAGATAGTACAAACAAACGCAATAGGAAATAGAGATTCAAGAGCACTGCTCATGACAATAGAGGCACCGATTTATAATCCTCAGAGGCCACACATCAAACAAAGGGCTTTGATTTTTATCGACCCTGGAAGTCAACGATCATTTGTATCAGCGAAGCTAGCTGATTCACTCAACTTGCCAGTGATAGTGGCAAATGAAACCTGCAGATTAACAAGCTTTGGTGAAAGAAGAGCCAAAGAATACAAGAGCGATTTAGTGAGAGCAAATCTACAAACAAAGGGAGGAGGCAAATTAAGCATCGTTTTGAATAAACTAAGCTTTCTCGTCAATCCTCTCCCGCTTTACGACTTAAAAGAGCTTACTGGTGAAGAGCTCAAACAAGTTCGTCTCACTACAAATGTCGAGTATCGACAACCTGATCTACTAATAGGCATGGATCTGTTCCATGAACTTAAAGTAGAAAAGAAGACAACATTACCGAGCGGATTTACCATCAGTGAATCACGACTTGGGAAAATTTTAAGCGGTGCAGGTCAAATCGAAAATGCAATAGGCGCACACACAGTATTCGCCGCATCAATACAAGTCAACGCAGCGTTTGAATGCGATGACAATTCAGACGACGAGACGCCTGAATCAAAAGGAAAATATTGGCCAAAAGAGAATTCACCAAAAGAGAATAATTCGGCAAAAAGAAAAAAGAAAAGGCCAAAAAATAAAGCATCAAAGAAGAAAGCATCAAGCGACAAAATGGTAAATCACAATTTGCCAAATAATAATTGGCCAGAAGAAAGGTCAACAGAAGAGAAGTCGAAAAAGACTGACACACCTCTGGATAAAGATTCCGAGGAAGAGAAAATAAAAAAGAATTCAACAAAGGTTGAATCACATCAAGGCAATCAACAGGCCAAAGAAGAAAAACAAAAGAAGTTAAAAAAGATTAAAAAACCTCTAGGCAAGCAACATGCCGAAGAGGAAGAAACACCTCTGGGCAAACACGAGAAACCAGAGGAAAATAAAGGAAGAGATTCAACTAAAGTTGAAACACCTCAGGGCAAACACAAGAAACCCGAGGAAAAAATACAAAGAAAGTCACAAAGGACTAAAACACCTCAGGGCAAACACAAGAAACGCGAGGAAGATGAACGAAGAGAGTCACAAATGACTAAAACACCTCAGGGCAAACACAAGAAACCCGAAGAGGAAGATGAACGAAGAGGTTCAACAAAAGTTGAAACACCTCTAGGCTACAATCACAAAGCCGAGGAAGAAGTGAGACAAATTAATTCAACAACGGTTGATAAACCTCTGGGCTATCAATACGCCAATGAGGAAGAAATAAAAAGGAAGTCTAAGAAGACTGAAACGCCTCCGGATAAAAATTCAGATAAAAATAAGAGAAGAGGTTCAATGAACCCTAATACATCACCAGGCAACAATCACAAGAATGCCGAGAATGAAAAACCTCCGAGCAACAATGCCGAGGAAAAGAGACAAACTAATCCAATAAAGGATAAAACACCTCCGGGCAATCAACAGGCCGAGGATAAATATAATCAAAGAAATTCGACTGACATTGAAGCACCTCTAGGCACAAATCAAAAGAAGGCCGAGGAAGACAAGGATGAAGTACCTCTGAGCAACAATGCCGAGGAAGATAAAAGTGGAAATTCAGCAGAAGTTGAACCACCTCAAGGCAACCACAATGCCAAAGAGACAAATAAAATAAAAAAGTCAACAAAAGTTGAAACACCTCTAGGCAGTCAAGATGCCGAGGATGAAGATAAAAGAAATAATTCAACAAAGGTTGAAAAACCTCCGGGCAAGTCTCACAAGAATGCCGGAGAAGACAGAATAAATAATCTGAAGGATAATATACCTCTGGGCAAGATTCACAAGAATGCCGAAGAAGGAGAGAAACGAATGTTTTCAATAAAGTTTGAAACACCTCTAAGCAACAATGTCAAGGAGGAAAATGAAATAGAGAATCCGACGAAGGATACAACACCTCTGGGCAGTCACAATGCCGAAGAGAAAAATAAAAGGAAAAATTCAAAGAAAGATAATATACCTCTGGGCAATCACAAACGCGCCGAGGACAAATTACCTCTGAGCAATCAAAATGCAGAGGGAGACGAAATAAAAAATTCACCAAAAGACAAAATACCAAGCGACAAATGGCCTAACGAAAATTTACAACGTGCCAATTTAACGAAAAACAAGAGGCCCAAAGATAAAAGACGAAAAGATTGTTCATCAATAAATAATATGCCAGAGGGCATTTCATCAACAAATAATATGCCAGAGGGCATTTCATCAACAAACAACATGCCAGAGGGCATTTCATCAATAAACAGTATGCCAATGGACAATTCATCGATGAACAATTTGCCAAAAGGCAATTCATCAAAAAACAAAAGGCCAAATTATAAATCACCAAAGGAAAAGTCGCTGGAAGACAATTCGCCAACTGAAAAATTGCTAAACAATAAAAAAGCAATAAATAAATCGCCCAAACACAATACAAAATTAGAAAGCCAACAGGAAGGCAAACATGGCACCTCACCTCCAGCCAACTATTATTATAAAGCAAAGGAGGAAAAAACTAGAAATTATCGGAAGAGAAACAAATGGCCTCAAGGAAAATATTACTATATAGTCATCATGGCACTTCTGAGCATCATTCTGCTCACGGTTGTAACAGCAATCAACAATCCATTCATGATAGAAATACAAAAGAGAGCCGATCAAAACGCCATGCCAGAATTTAGAGGTCCACACACTACGATAACCAAACAGGGGCGCAGAATCAACGTAGCACTCTCACCAGAGAAAAAGGCGCACTTAACAGAGCTACACAAAAGATTAGGAGCTGCCAAGACAACTATAGTTACAACAACTCCACGCCCAGACCTAATGTCAAAAGGGGTAGAGGGGAATGGGGATTATTCGCAAATCCCCACAAAATTTAAAAATCAGGAAGCGCAACAATCGAATCAAATTCCGCCATGGAAAAGGCAACCACCAGAAGTACAGAGTCCTCAAAACGCATACAACAGATCAAAACAAATAGAAAACACGGCACCGGCTCCACGATTTCAAATATCTAAAACAATAACGCCAATACAGTCGCAAGGGACTACGACATCAATCAACATGCGCCTTCCAGTTACAAATCAAAATAACATGCGCCCTAAAGCTACTAATCAAAATAATATGAGGCCGACAGATATAAAACAGAAACAAGAGAAAATTCTCCCAAGAAATGAAAACGGCGCCACACGCCAGCAACCTCTAACACAAAAGGCTCCTGAGACAACAGAAAACGATTTCTCACAATGGCTGATGAATTTAAAACACGAGTCAATAAGGTCCACCAATTTGGACAACAAAGCAAGCAACAGCAAACCTGCGCTTTGGTGCGCTCATAAGTCCAGTTCTCTTTGGACATTTCCTGAAAAAACGACATCGCCATATTGTAGTAATCTATCATCACAACTCAAATGGAAGCCAACTCGTTTATCACTCTACTCGCACGTCAATCAGGCGCGAGAAATGGTTGCGCACAGATGTTCAATCAAATATGTGCATGAATCGTACTACACGAATTTATTGGGAGACCGATTTGTCACAGTAGATAAATACATGGCACCAGTATCAAAAAAGGACTGCTTGAACATGACACAACGACATATGTGTCCTCCAACAAATAAACCAATGGGAAAATTAGATTCAAGTTCTTGGTCAACCAATGAAATATTAACTGTGGACTTCCCAGGACGCTTCTCCAGTCTCTTTGGAGGCAAGAAGGAAAATGTAGCGACGAACTGTCTCGTCCAACTCACATCGGCATTTTATAAGCCGCAAACACTGCAACTTATGTCACCAGTCCACAATCTGGATCATTGCAAATTCGGAGAAGAATTTTGTGCCTTGGCAGACAACACATCAATAGTATGGGACGCTAGATGCCCACATCATCTCTGCCAGAAATGCCAGCATCAGTTTGCTGAAGTAATAGAAGGACTATTTCGAATAGAGCAGTCAAGGATCATTTTCGTGTCCAAGTCACGTGAACAAGCACTCACGTTCAACTTAACTGCACCAACAGAGAAATCTTGTGATGGCACACCTTTAACTATAGCCGAACAAGGCTTTGGAATAAAGACTTCCGAATTTAATAAAATGAAGTCACAGCGACCAAGAAGAAATGTAGACGAACAACAAATCGCAAGCGAAATGACAGCGGCCGAAATGGCAATGAATCAAATAATGGAAAAAATATTCGCAGACAAATGCAAGCAGTTCGAACGAAATGCGAACCCAACAATTCAGGCTCGTCACCTCTTTAACAAAGACAACATAGTAGCAAAATGGCTCGGCGAAAATACAATGCAAGTTTTCACTTGCACAGCAATTCTGATGGATATAATCAAGCCTCGACCATCAGCAGCATGTTTCAAATACATACCAGTAGAAGTACACTTTTTTGAAAGAATTCTACAAGCATACCTTGATCCAGAGCTTCGCGTATTAACGGCAACGTCGCCACCGGCAGATTGCAACCGGAATCGAATCATGTACTTCGAGTACTCAAAAGGAAATTGGTCACGAATTGACACAAGCAATGCAAAGATTGAATGGATCAATAGCAGTATAATTCAAGAGTACCATAGCAACTTGACGCAGTTCAGAGATTACGATTTCCATCCACTAGTTTTTCATGAATGGATGTTGCATCAAGAAGAAGACCAGATACCATTCCTTCACATTGACGAGCTTCAACAGATGGAAGAATGGAAAAGCAATCAAAAAACCGATGAACACTACAGGGCAGTAGTTCTCGGAGCTATACCCGGAGGACTTCCCGGCTTAGCTAAAAGATGGCTAGCAGAAATCTGGGATGCATTTGTACAGCATTGGATAATACTCTCCTGCTTGTATTCAACATTTTTGTTTTTGAGGGACTTCTTATTCCCAGTAATGGCCACATATTTAATCATGCCGACACTCAGAAGCATAGGACTACTGGCAGCACCAAATAGAAGACGACCAAGAGTGTCGAATCAACGACGACAAGAAGACGTCGAACTCAGCGAAATAAAGGAGACACACACTCCTGAAAGAAGATTAATGAGAGGCAACGAAGAGAGGCAATCAAGAGTGAGATTTTCAAGGGCCAGCTCACTCGTTTCACTCAACACAGAGGCAGATAACCCTTTCGGGAATCCGTTGAATAGACTCCGTCGAGGTCTATCAATAAGAAGACAAGTGCCAAGTACAGCACTCATTTTCATGACTGTACTTTGTTTAAATACATTCGCCTCAGCCTCAAAGACGTTCGGTCAACAAAGCAACTTAGCAACCACACAAAATTCGAGCAGCATTACTACAAATTCGATGGATCATGAAATGAGCTGTTTCGAAATATCGATTTTCAAGTCCCATAGGGAACGATATACGACCGAACTGTCAAACATTAGAAAAAAATGGGCAATAAGAAATAAAATCCCAAAAAATTCTAGAGATGAACCCACAGAACCCATCTCGGTTTTTCTCAGTGGAAACTATCAATATGGTGCGGAATGCACAGGAACATGTCTTGGAACAAAATGTCAATCAAACAAATCAAACACAAGCATCCAAGGAAGAATTAATAAAAATTATGATGGGACGAATAAAGAAGCGAGAAGAGGAAATCGCGCAGAAAGAGGAAGAAATAGAAAAATACAAGGCACGCGTTCAAAAATTGATTGGGGCACAAGGAATATTCAAGACTCTAGAAGAGCCAGACTGAGGAGGGAAGAAAGAAAAAGAAAATAAAAATAAAAGGGAGAAGAAGAAAAAGAAAATAATTTTTAAATTCAGGGGGAGTGTCGCAGAATGACAAAGTATTCTGCTTTTGTATTTTGTGATCAAAATACAATTTTTTATTTAAATTACTGATAAGGCCCAATTTCTTCACTTTAATACTTTTTTGGGCAAATTCTTATCTTTTTTGGCCCATTTTACATTTTTAACCCCCAATTTCTCCTTTTCACGTGTTTTTTATGGCCCACATTCCAAATTGTTTACTATTAAATATTAATATGTCTCAAGGTCCGCTTTTTTGGCCCAACCTAATATTTAACAAACAAAAGCCAAAAAAGTGGCCCGACCATTAAATTTTAGTTTAAATTGTGTTTTAATGTTCTAATCATTTAAAAATGTTCCTCCAATTCTGGCCCTATTTAAGCTCCTCACTAATTATTCATTTCGCTGTGTATAGGTTGTTCATGTTAGTCACCATATAAGCTTTTTAGCTTTTAATTACCCAAGTTTGAGTTTTTGTCCTTGCCCAATTCACCACAATTGTTAAAATATTAAAGTAGATAAATAAATTTAAAAATAAATTCTTTATTTCTTTAATTCAATCTGACACCCTAATTAAATCCACTAGACAATTAGAAGCCGCTGCGACCGATCTGCCACATGTTAGTTTTTTTCAATTTAAAAAGAAGCATTCCGTAAAAATAAAAAAATTTTTCTAAACAAATTTAAAGAAAATAAAAAAGAGATTAAAGGGCAATTTAATTTTTTCTTTGGAACTTTTCTTTGCTACTAGAATATTTTTTGTTTGTATAGTTAATAGTGTTTTTGTTTAAAACTTGTTTTTAGTAATTATTTTTAGTTAACAAATAAATTTTAATTAAAATGATAAAAAATTTTCAAATAAAAATTTAAAAAAAAATAAAAAATAACTTAAAGAAATTTTAAAAATGTTTTATTAAATATACCAATAGATCTACAATTATTGACATAAAAAAGTTTAAAAAAATTTTTAATCAATAAAAACACCAAAAATAAATTTAATATAAAAATAGATAAATGCAAATTTTATTGTTTATTTTAACATAAAAATATTTTTTAAAAATAGAAAAAACTACAAAAATTGTATTGTATTACAGACTAGAAAATTTGTCCGAAAACATATTAACGGCCATAACTTTTTTAGAAAATGGCAGATGTTGGTGTTCTGCTTTAAAACAAGCCTATTCTTAAAGCTTAATTTTTTAAATTAAAAATTTTAAAAAAAAATCATGTCCGTTAAAAGTATGCTCGTTAACCTCCGAAAATTAACTACAATTTTGAATGACTCTATGACGTTGATCTTCAGCTACTTCCATTCTTCCATCTTCTATTTTTTTCGAGTTCTTCCGCATTATATCCTTCACTTTTTTAAAATTTCTGTTTGAAAAAGTTATTTATTTTTTAAATTTTATTATTAAACTTCCCCTTCTTGTATTTTTTGATTTTCTAAAAGTCTGTGGGGACTTGTAAAAATATATGTAAATTTTTGTTGTTATTTTTATTAAAATAACAACAAGGTAAAATGCCATTCTTACCAAAAAATATATTTTTTAACGGCGCCAGAAAGGAAGAAAAAAACAGAAGAAGATCAGTCATCATTTTCTTTTTTTTCCTTCCAAAATCATTCTTTTCTTTCTTATCTTCTTCCGCTTTTGACTAAAAAAATTATTTTTTTTAATCTTTTATTCTGCCGAAGAACAAGAGAAGGTTGAATAAAACTTTAATTATTATTTTCTGATATTGTTAACGAAAAAATATTTAAAAATTTATTTAGCCAAAGCTCGCTTATACGTCCCCCCCCCCCTCATGCATGATAAACCTACGGAGAATGACGGGGGCTTCGATTAGAATTTTCAGCATTTTTGTAGAAAATCTAAGACTAAAATTTAAAAAAATGTTGATGGGTCTTTTGTAAGCCATCTTAGTTATGCCAAAAAATATTTTTCTTTTTGTGGTATACCTAGTATTCCTCGTTTCAATTTTTTATATTAAAGCTTCTGCATTGTAGTGCAGAAGCCCTCGTTCTCTCCCCCTAAGTTTAACCAATACTTTCCAAAATTTAATTAAAATTTAATTAAATTAAAATCCACTTAATTTCCCCTTAATTAAATTAATTAATTTTGCTAAAAAAATTTTTTTGAGAGAAATCCATCCATTTTTTCTACCGCTTTTGAACACATACCTACATACCTCTATATATTTTAGTTACTCCAACTTCCCATACATCGATCATTGTCAAATTATTTTTATTTTTCTTTTTAATATTCCAATATCTACCTTTTCATTATAATATTCTTTATTCCACTGTTTTTTGTTCCTTTTAAAAGAAAATAAACCGATTAAGAAAGGGTCATCCTTAATCTACAGCATGACTATTTTAACAAAGTTTATTTAATTAAAATTGTAATTGTAAAATAAACTTGGATTAAATAAACTTGAATTTTTGTAAAATAAACTTTTTATAAAACTTGATACAAAATAAACTTTTTTTAAAATAAACTTGAATAAAATAAACTTTAAAAGCAACTTGAAGCAAGTTTCATATTCAAGTTTATTTTAAATTAAATCCAAGTTTAATTTTTTCTTAACCCAGCTTTATTTTGTTGTATGTTTCTCTGTTGTTTGTCTTTCTCTAATATTGTCGGCAAACTTTTTAAGTTTTAAAAAAATTTAAAGCTAAATTTAAAGCAGCATTTCTTGTCATTGCATAATTTTTAGGGGACGATACTTATTTTAATAAATATGTAGTATTTTTTGCTTCAAGTTTTATTTTCCTGTTTCATTTCCTTTTTATAAAATTCCGCCTATTTTTAATTGTAATTTAAAGCTTTTTTGCTTAACGACACCCCTCTGAACTAATTTTAATGACGTTAGCAAAAAAATATGTCAGATCAGGCTTAAACCAAATTAAGGTGGTTTTCTTTCATTTAAACCAAATGAAAGAAAGTGAGAAGGGATCTAGTATTCGAGATTCTACAGTATTTTTTTACATTCGAGGGATTGACTTTGTATGAGAGACAAATCAGGCTTTCCGTATGACCTAATTGAGGTGATGTTGGAAAGAGAGCGAAGTGGGACCTGGTGTCGTTATATAGAGATTCTGCTGTATTTTTTTATTTTTTATATCGTGTTTTTAGAAATTTTTTTCTCTAAAAATTTTTTTAATCTACTATAGTATATTTCCAACATTCTTTTAAATAATATTTTTAAGTACATCTACTTACCTATTATTATTAAAAAACACATCTGCTTTCACTTATCTATTTATTTATTTCTTATACTTTAACTAATCTATCTACTACCCTATTTTTCTACTGAACAATTGAAAACACCTTAAGAACTTGTAGAAAAATAAATTTTTGAATAGAGTATGTTTCCGTTATGACCTCTCCTTTTTTTAGAGAAAGGAAATTTAGTTGGAATTTTTGGCAAATTTATTAATAATTGTTATAGGAATTAAATTTTCTTTCTACAGTAAATTGTAGCTAATTATTTAAAAATATTTTTTTGTTAGATTATTAAACTTCCAAAAAACCTAAAAAATATATGTACACTTAAGTTAATCCCATTCAGAACAGAGTTAGTTTGCGACAAACAAATCTTCCCAAATCAAAAATGTCATAAAAATTTGAAAATCAAAAGCCAACCACATCGAAAATCAAAATTTTAAACCTTCTCTCATTCCATTTTGCAAAAAAAATATTTTTCCACTGATCATTCTTTAATTTTATGACGTATTTGGTAATTAAAGCTTTTGTTTTTTTCATTCTTCCTTATTTCTAATAAGAACAATTAATCAGTTTTGTACTTTTCTTTTTATTAGATACCTATAAGGAATGGGTTTTTTCTAATTCTGCTTAAAATGTTTAAAATATGGTTGGTCCATCCCTGATTGGAATCTCTATATATCGTCTTGGGCCAAATTGATTGATAATAAGATGGAGGGGTTGGGAGACTCGATGGCATTATGGAGAGGTCTATCTGTATCAGGGATTCTGCCGACAATAAAAAACAAAATTCCAGATTTCGGGAATTCGGGATCCCGACCCAAAAGATCGTCGGGAATTTCCGATTTTGGGAATAGGGCCAGCAGGTATCCTGATATGTACCTAGTGTTGTGGACAGCCTTATTCAGAAAAATAATTTTTTGGTAGCATTCTATTAAAAGTGCCATTCTAATAAAATCTTATTATTTATTATTGTTGACTATTTTTAAAAAAATTATTTATTTAATCTGTTATAATTAGAGCGAGTTTTTTTAGGTTTTTCTCTATTTTTTTTGCGAACTAGTTTTGATGAGATATGCACGAAAAACACTGTTTTGGGTCGAAATAATGAGTCTATATTGGACCTATTCGAACCTAAAAAACCTATTTCGGCCTTTTTGGACCTAAAACCTATTTCCAACCTATTTCGGGGTTTTTTGAACCTATTTTAGGTTTTTTGACAAAAAGCTCAAAAATTGCCTTTATTTTTGCAAATATTTTAAATTTAAAGTCATTTTTTCACTAAATCTCTACTTTTTGAGGAAAATCTATCTATTTATTTTTGATATTTTTTATATATTTTTTCTCTTTTGATTTTTTTGATTTTGATATTTTTTCTATTAAACAATTATCGGTAAACCTGCTTTGAGGGCAAAGACTCCGATATATTCGATATTTATCTCATTTGAAAGAGCTCTCATTTGTCAGAGACGGGACTAGTTCGAAACAGCTCGTCTAGCTGAATAGAATAACACCAAAATCAACGCGATCTGAATTCATAGGGCCGAGTTACATACACCCAAAATTCGAAAACCATGCAGGTGAGTAGACATTTTTGAGGTGAAAAATTCGAATTATTGAATGATAGCTCAATCGATAGATCGATAGAGCTCCTCGATCGATAGAGCTCCTCGAGTTGAGTCGAATTACACCAAAATCAGCTCAATCTGACATGATATGGCCGAGTTACAGGCCCGTGAAAATTGAAAAACCATAAATTGAAGACTCAAAATTGAAAAAAAATCTGAAAATTCAAACCTATTTGCTAAAAATTCGTACCTATTTTGCCACTT